CCATATTTGCACGATGTAGATGTTCTATGAACTTAGCCAAATTAGTTTGATGACATGAAACCTAGATGTTGCAAAATCTAATAAAGTAACTATTTTCGGTTTACATAGGAATTTGGTACAAAAAAAAAGATACCAGCCCTCAAGGGGTATCGAAACATTGAATAAATAAAAGATACCAGCCCTCAAGGGATATCGAAACATTAAATAAATAAATAATTGATATGTTATAAATTGCTAACTTGACGCATTTCTGCTCGAATATTCTGTAAGCACGCATAATGCAAAGCGAGTTCAATCGCCGTCAATCCATCTGGGCGATAAATCCACTCCACAACCTTCCTTTGTATTTTAATACATGCTCTAATCTTTTTCCCAACACATCTAGCACGTTCGACCCTTCTAATTGCATTTGTCATCCACAATTCATAGCGACGTAATGCATAACTGTCATCGTATTTACATGCAGATTTATGTTTTTGTGTGATTTTTTGGTATTCTTCATAACTCACACCACAGTATTTATTTCCAGTACAATGGGAGGCCCAATGTTTTTCCATTCCAATATGATTATAGTTATTTCCCATATTTATGGTCATTTCCCCAGTATATACTAGTTGATTGCAAGAGAAACAGATAGCCATCCCTATTGTAGGAGCATATAAATTCCCAGATGGGACTTGGGTCAATCTTCTCGCTTCAAGATATTTTTCACCCCCTCCAGTAGGTAAAAGGTCGTAATCTCTGAAATACTGCAAACGAGTCCAAATTCGTTCTTTCCACTCACCAGGAGTTTCATTGGTGCGAACTTGAGGCATCTGGCAATATTCAGTCCATTCATCATTACTGCATTTAGAACCAGAATGAGCTATTAATTCGCTAAAATTATCCATTTATATGACCTATTTATATAGTATATTATAAGTGTATATGATTTAACGAGTTATAGTGTATTTAGGTTTTAGACCTATTAATTTTATCAATTATATATATTTGGATATCACAATTCATTTTTGT